GCGGGAGCGGGGCTTCGTCTGTGGCTGCGGGGACCGAGGGGCTGGCTGGGTGCTTGGTCCGCCGTTGTTATTTTTGAGGGAAAATATGCGGCACGGTGCGCAGGAAGTTCTCGCTTCTGCCTTACCTGGAAGCAACCGCTGCTGCTGTCCACCAAACAGCGCTCAGGTTCCCCTTCCCTCAGGTGGTTGCAGCGAGATGGCAGCGGTTTGGCCACCGGTCATCTGAGTTGCCCTGACACTGCTCCGCCTGCCTGCACTCCTACATGATCCATGCAGGCAAAGAAAACAAATGTCTAGTGCCTAAAATACAAGGAGTTCCTGTGGTAGTCCAGGAGGTTAGTAACAGTAAGATGGCTTCATTGAGGTAGATTTGTAAAAACAGATCTGCAAAACGCATGCATATCATGTGAGATGCATCCAGTGTTACAAGCCGATAAGTCAGTAGTTGGCTGCGTCTTCCAAGGAAATCGAGGTAAACAACTGGAGTGGTCCAGGTTCCATCACTCATCTGTGAGCCTGCTCATAAGTGGTGGCTTGGATCGCTTCTGTCTGCCTGCCTTGGCTTCTTAGTTTTCTCTGAGGACTCTGCCTTTCAATTCTTCCTCCAAAGCTGCCACGCTCTTATTGAATACCTGCTGTTCTGTTGGGCTTTTTCGTGCAATATCACTGGGCTTTTAAAATGAGAATACTCAATGAATGCTGCACCTGCATTTAGAGATGCAATAAAGTCACACTTTTTACTAGTTCTGTGTTAATTCATGACAATAAACTAGCTGTCATAAGGTGTATGTTTTCTTGTTCATGTTTTTTAACTGTTATGAGAAAGACAAAACTTTTTTTAATTTCTTAGATTTGGTAGGGAGGAGGTTGCTCTATTATTTTGAGAGGTTTTTTTGTAAGATACCCCTACAAACATTCAATTTAGAAGTAAATTGCATTTTAGTAGGTGGCAATCATGAGAGTCGGGGATCAAAATTTTGTATGTTTTTACTTCTAAGGAATTATGTTTTTAACTGCAAGTCATCTGTCCTTTTATGATGTGTCAAAAATGGGCACGCAGAATCGAACAGTGAAGTAAATGGCTGACAGCTTCCCATGTGAGACTTTATGTGGAATACCAGATGACAGAAGAAAGGCAGGAGCTGCTGGTCATCTGTCTTACACCCATTGTTACTGATGAGGTGAAGGGAATGCCGCAGCCGCTCCTATCCGCCTCGCTTTTCCCCTGGCCCTCACAGGCTGGTCTCCTCTGTCCTCTTTAAGGCCCTGATAGGTATTAGAGTGTGTTTTGTGGTGAAAATAGGAATTCCACAATTTCCTTTACTTGGTGTTTGTAACTTTGCTTTTATCATAACCCCATATACCTTTGACTTCTATCAAACCCCATATACCCGTAGGTGCGTTTGTTGTAAGTGAGGCAGAATTCACACAGCTGCAGAGGGGAGTTAGCAAGCGTGGTGGCATCAGCTCAGATGTGGTTAGTACACGTCAGGAACAGTTTTGGGCCCAGGACTTTCCAACTCCAACCACACACAAAAAAAATCCACACCAGAAGTCAGGGGGCACCTGCCCTCTAGTTCCTCCTAACACTCTGGAGAAAACGGCTTTTTTGCCACACCAGATATTTCCCTCTCTGTATTCAACGTTTGGTTTGATGGTAGCTGCTCTCCTCACTTGCTTCCTTTTGTGCATGGGCACGTCCCAGCTGTGGGGAGCAGGGAGTGACTCAGATTCGCAAATCCCCTCGGTGTGGATTAAGGTGAAATAACACTCAAGGTCTGTACATACATCAGCTTTAATGGGAGATTTCCATAAAACAAATATTCTGTAAAGGTTGGCCCTCTAGCAGTTATACCGACCTAAGCTATGCGGCTCTATGGGAAATGAAGGTAAGCCTTGCGTTATTCGATGCAGCGTCAGGCCTGCCAAGGGGGGCATTGGGTGAGGAGAGCCCCTGTACACTCGCAGGTGGCCCTATTGATTGGCCCCAGCTCCTGGACTTGTGGAGCCTTCTTGTCCCGGTTCCAGGAGTGGCTGAGACACCCCTCGAATCAAGAGAAGTGGCACTAGGCCCCTCCTCGTGACTTAACCCTCTCTCGACTCCCGGCAGGGCCTCTGGGCTCGCAGTGCAGGCGCCCGGGGCTCATCCTTTCCACCATGCCGAGTATAACAGTACAGCGAAGGTTATGCCTCACATTCCTTCAAAACTCATTCAAGCCTGGTCAGAAACCACATATTCTTCAAAGACTGTGAGAAGAAACAATGTTTCTGTGCTAATGTGACTTTGAAATGGCTTTGCTTTTTCTACAGCATTCTCAGTGTGAGCCATGTGAATGTGGGAGTTGAAGATGAGTGCTGCTGCACAGATCTGAAGTCATTGCCTGGAGTTAATTTGTGAAGTGCTTTCACTGAAGCGCTTGGACTCTCTCCCGAGCTTCTTTTGCATAAGCAGCAGACTAACATCTGCGTCTTGTCCACAGGCACAGAGTTCTGCTAAACCTCTTCAGGTTTGAGAACCTCTGCAAATCCCAACCCCAGCTATGTTTATTGTATAAGTAAGGGAAAGGGCGCAATCAGATTACAAGCGTATGCGTCCTTCAAAAAGTTGGCAAAGAATATTTCACCTTGCAGGGGGAGAAGTGTAAGTAGGCTGGGTGAATAAGATGCTCTTTGCTCTTGGGTGCGACAGCACGTTAAATCCCTGGCAACTCGTATGTACTCAGAGGCTGAAAAGTGCTGCTTTATTACATCCTTATTTAAAGGAAGTAAATATCTTGTGCTCACTAAGTGCAAAATGTGACTTTAATATGAAAATTTTAAGACCTGTTCTTCTACGAAGTGGATTGGTGGAATTGCGAGAAGTAAATTGTGACATTAATGCTGCTGAGGTGTTGTTGAATAGTTAGCTGTGGAGATGTTATATCCCTGCAGTATTTGCTTTGAGGGAGGTGAGTCCTTGCTGAATCTGTAGAATAAAGAAATATACTTACACACTTTGACTGTTTTTTTCATGTGTATAAATGAGGCAATATTCCATGTCGTTAACCCTACCATTTCCTACATGTCAGCTAAAATGAGGTAAACCTGTTACCAAGATAGTTGAGTGTTCCTATTGGTTTTGTCTTCCCTGAAAAGTGCTAGTTAGTTCATGTTTGTATACTAACCTGACTGTGCATGGTATTTACTGAGTCGTGCAGTATTCTCACTCCGTACCACGTCTCTTGCAGACCAGTCCTTTTGCCATGGAAGCCGAAGAAACGATGGAGTGTATCCAGGAATTCCCTGAACACTATAAAGTTATTTTGGATAGACTGAATGAACAACGTGAGCAGGACCAGTTTACAGATATCACTCTGATTGTCGATGGTACGTACAGGCCTGACAACTAGTTGGTGCACAGAAAATTCTGAAAGCTGTGCTGGGGAGCTGTTGTGTTTGTCACAGATCAGCTGTCAAACTGGGCTGCTATCAGATTCTTGGTTCTCTACTGGTGTGCGAGTTGTTTGCAGAGTTTCATTTAAAATCTTGGGGTGAACAGTCTCCAGCAGTGATTAATAATTTGGCTTCTGCTTTTCCAAACAAGGGGCTAAATATTTTCAGATAGAAGCCCACTTTGAAACCACTGTGCTATATTTAACCTGTTGTCTAATGTTAAAATATTTTTCCCTGACTTGAGCTGACTGTTTGCATGCAGAGAACTTGTACAAATACTGTGTTTAAAAAACAAACAAACAAACAAACAAACACAAAAACCAAAACACCTTGAAATAAGATTTACTTCTTGCTTCTCTGGTGTCTGCCTACTATTTTAATATACAGTTAAACTAGGGTAGAGGCACTCACTTTTCTTTTTATATGTGTTGTAAGGACATAAGTATTAGTTTAAAAGGATGACAGAGATATAAGTGCTTATTATCTCCTTAGAAAAAGTGGTGTCTGGTAGATGACCTAAGATTGCTTCTTATCCCAAACATGTCTTAGAATAGATGACGACTTCAAGGAAGATAGGCAGTGTTCACTAGGACAGACTTAGCTAAAGGAGTACCACCTGATCTTCAAAAGGACAGCAAGAACTCAGTTGAAGGAAAAGGGTCCTACAGAGCCGATTAGAAAAAAAAATAAACAAATGAAGAAAAAATTACCCTTCAGGAATTGCCGTAGTTTAACTGACAGTGCTTGCATAAAACTTACCGTGAATGTTTGTTCCTGCTCTTGTATTGCCAGACCCATGTGTTGAGCTCCAAGCTGTTTTTAAGTGCAGCTGTGTAATTCTAATCCATGTTGCTTCTCTTATCTCTGTCCCATGGAGCCTTATGAATGTTCATGTGTGCGCCAGGGAGAAGGCAACACAGTGATGGGGAATACACAGTCTGGAAAACAGGAAGAACAGAGCAGAACCACTTCTGTTCTGCAGTGGTGTTTATGCTGGCGGAAGTGGTGATAAACTACATCTGTCTGTAAGAGCAACAAAAACCAAGGAGAACCTGGATAAAACTTGAGAGCTGAGCCCAAGACATACAGGAAAAAGTTTGCATAGGAATTTCCCGTAACTTAAATATCTGAAAAGAGAAACACTGGAGTGAGTGAGTCGTCCAGCTGATTGAGTTGCAGAGCTAAAGCAAGCTCGGTGATGTCAGCAAGGGTCCGCATGAGATGGGACAGGTTATCTGCAGTAGTATCCCGTGTTACAAGGAGACATACTAAGTGACTATATGCTGCTGGAATAGATTTGTAGACTGGGTGGTCTCTTTTCTGCATCTGCAGTTATTCTGCACTATGAGTGAGGAAGGTGTTACCCTAATCCAAAATTTTTGTCTCTATTTGTAGGTCACCATTTCAAAGCTCATAAGGCTGTTCTTGCTGCCTGTATCCAGTTCTTCTACAAATTCTTCCAAGATTTCACTCAGGAGCCCTTGGTGGAGATTGAAGGTAATCTGATTTGTGCATATAAAAACCTTCAGAGTTGTGTGCCCAAGCTGGAAATGAATGTAGTATCGTTGGTATGGGCTTACATACATGCTTGGTCATATCAATTAGCTTTCTAGATATCAGCTCTTGAGTGGTTCTGAAGCAGCTACCACCACTGGAAAAAAACTTCCCCTGAAGAAAAATTGAAAAGAAAAAGAACAGTCTTGAATTAAATCTTTTGGAACAGAAAGTGTGAGGTTCTGTGGGTGGTTTTTTCCTTTATTTTTTTCTTCCCACCAATACATGGCTAATGGAGGTCAGCCAGACCCTGTATGTTTTTAGGACTAGCAGTGTGACATACAATCTTTTCCCTGACAACAGCCATTCCAGTCAGATGAAAAAGCCTGCCAGTGATGGCCAATGGCAGATGTCTTGGCTGGGATGCAAAAGCAGGATAGACGTGGAGCAATACTTGCCTGGTAGGCAAGGAGCGAATTCCTGGAGCAGATTTCAGCCTCCAGTATCTTGCTGCTCAGAGGTCTCTTGAGAGGGAGATTGTATTTTTGTGTTTAAATCTATACTTTTTATTATTCAAACAGGGTTTTGTCCATCTTATCCTTCCTTTTATCTTTGTTGTGGCGTAATTCTGTGGTTATTCCAGATTCACATGTTTCTGCAGTAGACTTTTTATTCCAACATAAGCCTTTTAAGGCAGCTACAGTACTATGAGCAAAATGGTGAACAGGCAAGTGTGCAAGATTCATCAGATAGAAGGGACTGAGGAATTGCTAAAAGAAAGCATTGTTTTTCTTGCCTGTATATAGGTGTAAGTAACATGGCATTTCGTCACCTCATTGAGTTCACCTATACGGCAAAACTAATGGTCCAAGGTGAGGAAGAAGCAAATGATGTTTGGAAAGCAGCTGAGTATCTACAGATGTTAGAAGCGATCAAAGCACTTGAAATCAGGTAAGCACGTAAGCATCTTTTTCTTCCCAACACTGAAATGTAGAGTCACAAGAATCCTTTTACAAGAGCTGGCTGCCAGTATTTTGCAGTCCTGTTCCTTATCCTGGAACCTCCTGAACTTGTGTGTGACCATATACTCTTCTACTATAAGATATGGGTCAGAATTATACAGGCTGAAAAATGAATGTCACATTCTTTGGGCTGGAACTTGATGCCAAGTGACGTGGCTGGTAAATGTTGCAGACATTGTAGGGCTGTGACTTTGTGGTAACTAACACCAGTTCTCTGTGCTGTCTGACTGCCCACCTGATTGACAGCTGGGTGTACAGTGACCATGTGCCTCAGGTAATTAGGCCACATTAACAAGCTTGTGCTGGTGTTTTGATTTCATGCAGCTTTCTGCTATTTCTGAGAGAATAAGCAGTGATCGTAAAACTTCTTGCTGCAAAATTCACCTCTGAAACTTCTTAAATGAATGTAACTGTTATAATCAGTTTTACACGGGATCAGTACTTAATCAAATGTTGCTGTGGCACCTTTTCTCAAGTACCAGGAGCGGTACTCCATTGCCAGACTCCAACCTGAGAAAAGCAGGTGCCAGTCCCATCACACTGTCTTTCTTCCCCTTCCTTCCCTTTCACTGTCACAAAATGCTGTCACGTCCTCACTCCTTCTGCGTCCGACACTGTTCTGCTGCTGTGAACACCCTTTTTTGACATTATTAAGATTAAGCATGGTACCACCAAAAGATTTTTTTTTTTAATTCAGGAAAAAAAGCAGACCTTAGCTGTCTGCTTGAGGAATTTAAAAGAAACTTGAAACTGAAAAAGTACATTCTAATCAGTGTGTCACTTTGAGTCAGTGTACGCTGGTAGAGCTGTTGAACCAGGATTCAGATCCATCCATCAAGCTAAACTGTCCAGCCTGCGATTATTGCCCACTATTGTATAATGTTATGCAGTTTGTTGGTTATTCATCACTAGTAAACACTGTAATTCTTATGTTACAAGAAAACAAATGTTTTGCTTAACAAACACACATGCAAGCCAGTCTATTCTTAGAGTTATTTCCATTGTTCATAGATATTGAAAAGTTTTTTTTGTGGGGGTTTGTTTGTTTTGTTTTGTTTTGTTTTTTGTTAGAAATACAAACTTGAGTGCCATTGCCAGTCTCTGTTTTTTCCTCCACAGTAAAAGGGGTAAGAATTGCAATACAGTGCCTCAGTCAGAGCTTTGAGTGAAAGGGATAAGCTTCAGAAGCTTCAGCTGAAGTAGAGATGATTATAGAACTAACTATTTGTATAATGCACCAGAGTTGCACATCGCATAATCTAAACTAGAAAGAAAACAACCAGCTGTTATTCCTTAAAGTGCAGTTGTGTTGTATGTCTGTATCCGCACTCAAAGTTCACACAATGTGGCCAAGGACGGTCGCCTGCTCTTTGCTGAGCAGATTATTCTCTTGGTACGTGATCCTGGAGCTCCTTGCAGTAATGTGCAAAGTAACTGTCCCCTTCTAGACATCAGAAATCCAGGCTAGATGAAACTGTAAGTTTATCTTGCTCTGTCTTCCTGTGTCTGAATAGGGTAACGTACAATTTAATAAGCTGTATCCTGCATTAGATCATTAGCCACACATCTTTGACATATCAGTTACAGATACTGGTGAGAGCCTTACCTCTCCTGTTACTAGAAAATGTGAAGGTGATAGGGAGTAGATTATGTGAAAGGATTCATCAGGCTGCAGGAGAAGGTAAAAGCACAGCTTACTCCCGTCAGTCTGATTTGAGGGGAAGATAGCCACTCATTTTCGAAACTGATAATCATAGTAAAACCTCCAGCACATAAGTGCTGTGGATGATCTTGAGGGCATCAAACTTGAAAGCATTGGCCCACTCAGCTCTGTCTGTGTTTGAGGTTGCATGCTACCCGAATGTCTTGGAGGAAGGACGTTGTGTGTGTATGATGCAGAAAGAACAGGAACAGAGCTGGTGGTTGTGTTTAAACCCATAAAGTAAACTAGAATACTCTTGCCACATCACAGTGGCTTTTATTTTTACCTCAGCTGTTAGCTGTGTGCTTTCCTGAAGTACAAGGTGTTACAATAATCGTTGTGTGAAGTCACAGCTATAGTGTTTTCTAACAAGCTGTAAGCACTGCAGGCAATTGCACACGCTCCAGGGCTTAAGAGGTGAATAGCATAGGAAGGACTTGAATCTTATTTCTGAGTAGGCAGGACAAAGAACTCCTTCCTTTGGGGAAGTTTCCTTTCCAAGTACAAAATTTCACAAGTTTCTCAGATAAACCTATGTCATTAGGTTAACTGGCCTTTTTTCTTGGTCGGTGCTTTGTATCACTGAAGCAGAGCTATTTAAAACACTTTGGTAGCCTTATGTCAAAGGCTCTACAGCTTTAACCATGCTGTTTTACAGCTGTAAGGAGTATAGATTAAGGACAAATTAGCTTCTGACATGTACACAGGTTATGTGGTCGTTCATCATTTGGCTTCTTTGAGAAACAGCTAGAGAGTGTTGGATGCAGAAGCTCAGTATTAGGCAGGAATTGTTGTGTCAGTGCTTATGGGTCTTAACCATGTTTATGCAAATGCTTTACAGGAACAAAGAAAATTCATCACCCTTAGAATCAAATCAAGCACAGGGTAAAAATAAACCAAAAAAGAGGAAGATAGCTGAAACCTCTAATGTTATAACAGAAACACTGCCATCTGCAGAATCGGAGCCTGTTGAAATTGAGGTTGAGATTGCCGAAGGGACGATTGAAGTGGAAGATGACAGCATCGAAACGCTTGAAGAAGTAGCTTCTGCAGAGCAGTCCATAAAGTACATACAGACAACGGGTACATCAGATGAATCTGCTTTGGCTCTTTTGGCAGATATCACCAGCAAGTATCGTCAGGGAGAGAGAAAATGCCAGATCCAAGAAGAAGGTGATAGTGCAACTGATCCCTCGTGCAAACAGGTAGAAGGTATTGAAATTGTGGAACTTCAGCTATCACATGTGAAGAATTTATTCCACTGTGAGAAATGTAACCGTTCATTTAAATTGTTTTACCATTTTAAGGAACACATGAAAACACACTCTACTGAGAGTTACAAGTGTGACATATGCAATAAAAGGTACCTACGAGAGAGTGCTTTGAAACAGCACCTCACCTGTTACCACCTCGATGAAAGTGGTGCCAGCAAGAAGCAAAGACCTGGCAAAAAAATACATATATGCCAGTACTGTGATAAGCAGTTTGACCACTTTGGACATTTCAAAGAGCACCTCCGGAAGCACACAGGTAAGAGTACTGCTATATTCCTGTCCTTGGGGCCTTGGCTCTAGCGTTTTGGGTTTTTGCATGTTTTGGGGAAATAGCGAATATGCTGAAGAGAACACATGGGTTCTGAGTGCTAGAAATACGTGGCTTCTAGTTACAACTGAAATGCTGGTTTGTCTTTTTGTTTGTTCGTTTGTTTTGTTTTCCATTGCTGGAAACTTTTGAGGGACTGAGGTGGTTAAAAATAGGGACCTCAAAGCAGAAGGAACTAATGAAGCTTCTCTCTCAAGTGTATTAAATCTTAGATTTTTTCAAAATCATTTCCTACGGTATGTTTCCTTCTTTAAAAGTAACTCCTCAGTTTGGTACTTTTGTTTTCACAACTCTACTCGTAAATGTTTCTGTTGAAATATAATCTGAACTGTGAGCTTCTCAGTGGAATACAGTTTAGCGGGTTTCTTTGTCTAACAGAACTTCTGAGCAAATGCCTATTAATGCATTAAGCATAAAATACCCCCTAACAATTCTCTCTGGTACCATCTTGTTTGGAAAGTTTCACCCTTGCTCTTGACACCTCATCTATGATTTGATTTTTCTTTGTTAATTAACAGAGCAAAACATTTCTAGTGACTATAGTACACTTTTTTTACTGTGAAATCTGCATCTTTGAAATCTGGGTAGCATCGTTGAGTACAAAATGACTTGTGCTCCTTCTTTATGATATGGGAGGTTAAGATTCTACTTCTTCATCTCACTGAAAAGTCTACTATCTGAACAGGTACTGAGCATTATACAGTTAACTCTGAATGTAAAATATATGTGGTCCCGATCTTCCAGATGTTTTTATTTAATATGTCAGTCATGAGTCATCAGTAAGAATTAAATGGAGGGTAGCAGCCCTATTTCTCTCACAGCTCCTTATTGTTGTTAAAGCCTTTGAATTCAAATTTCTTTGTATCTGTATATGGGACTGCTGAGTATTGATATATGACACTGTGTCCAGTCTATTCCCAATAGCCCCTTAAAGGTTCCATTTATAAACAGTCTTTGGCAAATGCTTATCCTCTATGAAGCAGGGAGTGTTTTTTCCATTATAAGCAATCCAAATACAAGTTACGTAACAGAAGTCTTTTCAGAGAAAAGTTTGTGGCAGATTAACAGAGTAACCCAAATATCACAATATGTTGGTTGATGTTACCACAAAGGATTTTGAGGACAATGCAACTTAGCATATCACATGTTACAGAGTACTTCCTAAATATCTGTTGATACAAGTATAATGCATGGAATCTAATTACTTCTGGTTTAGCATTTTCAAAAGCCTTAAGCTTAAAATCAGAACAGATACTACCATTTAACTGTGGTCTCCTAAGATCAGTGGAAAAACTCCCATTCAGCCAAAGGCTTTCTAAGTTCTGAATTCTGTATAGCACTGGTTGAATTCTAAAATGAAATTAAAAGGCCTACAAGAAAACATCCTACAAAGTATTTGAACCTGTTGCTGCCTAATCATAACACCAGTAATAACATGAAAATAGCAATTGAGGCAGAAATAGACCACCTTATCAGTGTTGGTAATTCATTTTAATGTAGAAATTTGACATTATCAATGACTATTATCTTCATCTCAATAAAAGAAAGGAAGGAGATCCGTCGAGTTTTTTCTTACTCATGCGTACAGTGCCTTAAGCAGCTTCTGAGTCTCTGAAAAAATACCTCAGAAATGTTATGCATGTCATGTAACTCTGAAACTATTAACAAAGTCGTCTCCAGAACTTATAAAGAGAGAGGGGCTTTGTTCTGATGTCATTATTATCTTTTTCCTCTTTATAAGAACGGATGAGATTTCACTTGCCAATCGTAAATAGTGCACAGGACAGAAATTCTGCAGGGCTGCACTTAAGTAATGTACATCTGTTGAGTTCAATAGCTCTAATTTCTCTTACACAAGAAGAGCAATTTCCTCATACAGAAATCAATCTTAGAATGAAGATACTGCTCTCAATATGCTGGTCTAATCCTGATATTTCACAAAAATTATATTCCTTAGCAGAAAGAGACACTGAACAGCTCTGATTCCCTGTGATTTTACTGGAAATTTTGACTGCTGAATATTTCTCAACGTTAGGTGTTCTTGATTTTTTTTTTTTTTTTAACTTTTATGGAGACTGTGTGTGAGTGAAGGTGGAAGTGAAGAAGTCGTGATGTGCTCCAAGCAGCTAAATTAATCTGCCCTTGTCTGAAAACCCTGTAACTGAAGTGATTCGTATACAAACTTTGTAGGAAAAATTAATCAAGGTCCTTGCCATTCTTGGTAAATCTAAAATATGTTTTACAGGAAGTGTAGTTTACATCTTCCATAGGAGTGAATAAATGGACTCTAGTTATGTACCTTGAAGAAATGATACCAAGAAGTTCATTTGATACACACCTGCCTTTGGTGTGTTTGTGGAAAAAAAACCTAATAACTAGATTTACTATTTCTCTCTAAACCCAATCTAAGTAATGATATGGTCGCTTTATGATTATGGTTGAATTCCCTGGTATTTCTTACATATTAGGCAAATAAAAGTCACTATGTTAGTTGTTATGAATTTCTTTGGGTTAAAAAATATTTATTTGGGGCAGTCTCCTTCCTGTGACTGTCACACTATAAAGGACCAGCACAATATTGGACTATCTCCGGTCAGAATTTCTGGCTTGTGAGTTACTTACGATTGGCAAGTGAAATCTCATCCATTCTCATAATGGGAGAGAAAGATAATCATTAGATTAGGCCAGAAGCCTCCCGAAGAAGAGAGAGGAGAGCAGACAGCTGGCACGCTCTCTGTGTTTTCCATCACTGCTGTGACGGGTGCAGCCCAGGTCACAGCGTTGATTCACATTGTGCAAGAAATCACACAATGTCCTTTGGCCTTTGGATATTGCCACCATTACCTTTGAATTGTCACTTTCAGACACTTTCAGCAGAATATGTTGGAGATTACTGAAGAATTTGAGTAAGAATAGAATAAATCTGTCCCTGACTGGTGCCTTGCTCCAAGTAGCTATTTTAAATGTGACCAGATCACAGAGCAGGTGAAGGTCTGTGGTGTGAGCTTTGCTCTGTAGTATCCATTGGTTGCTTGGGCAAAGTCTGTGATTTTTGACCTGCAAGACTGATGGCACGTCAGCATCCTCTGCATTACGTGGACAACAGTCTCCAAAAACATAGCATTTTGTAACCATTAAGGGGAATGTTCCCACCATTTAACATTTTTCTGTAGCCTTTAGGTGTATAAGTGAGAATTATAGGCTACTTGTGGATTTCTTCTGAAAAGCTAATTAGGAACTTCTGAATATCTTTATTTCTGAAAATACGGGTTTATTGGCTTTCCATCTCAATAGCCAATAACTACTGCATTCCTGAAAATGCAGGGTTTTAAACTAGCTAGGATAGATTCTTATGTTATTCACTGAAATGTCTCAGCCTCTTTCGGAGTTCATTAAGCCGTCTGTTTCAGTAGTGATGTCGGTGTCAGTACCTCCGCAGATTAATTATCAGACTTTCAGAAGAAACACACTGTTCCTAATTTTTTGTACTTTAATTTCCATGGATTTCATTGTGTTTGTGCATGATGGAATTAGTAAACAGAGACACCAGTTGTTCTTTGTTACTACTTGATCTACCTGATGACAGTAACAACAATATACTACTTTGGATGAAAAAGAGAAAACGACCTGTTTTCAGCCTCCCCTGCTGTTGTCCTTAGCTGGCTTCTGTGTTTGGTACCAGGTTTGAAATGAAGTGGCCAAACTGAAAAGAATTTTTATCTTGCTTGTGCCCATTTATGTCCCTCTGTGCTTTCTTTTCACTGTGTTTGGGGAGCGAGAGGGGGTGTCATTTGTTTGTTTGTTTTGATACTGATGCAGTGTTATTTCGGGGTTATTCCATGCCAACTTCTTTTTCTGGAGATCAGTTTCAGCTCTCAAGCATAAGCTGTTATTGTTCTTGAAAATAAAACTTTGTATTATTTAAATACTTCCTTCTTTAACGTGTCACTTTGTGTATTTACTACTGTTGATTCTTTAATTGTAAATATTATCAGATGAAAAGAGAGAAATAGATGCTATTTCTTTAAGATATTTCATCAGAATAGTAATCTAATTTCCATAAAAACCTAAATGTACCTTAAATGGCACTGGTAATTGTTACATTGTTTTTTTTCTAAATGAGAGTTATGACTCCACATTAGGTTTTTTCCCTTTTATTTACATAAGTAAAGTTTACATAGAATGTCTTTCTCTTCTTTTTAGAATAATCCATTTGGCCACGTCTTTACGGCATATTTATCAAGCTACACAAAAGGGAGAGAGGGGAAGAAGAGAGAGCTGACAGAAAACTGCCTGGTTTTATACACTTAAGCTGTACGAAGGTCAGGTGGGTAATGGAAGCAGCAGAGTCTGAGGCTAGATAGCTCCTTCCTGTGCTGAGGGAGTGTGGGAATGTTGAGCAGGAAAGGCAACAAGAGCGGGCTTATCTCTCCACGAGCTACTTTTAGTGAAATAAATATAAGGATCGCATTCAACCACAATGTGCAGATAAATTCCTATATCTGAGTAGTTCCATTTAAAATATGGAATTACTGATATGGACCCTCATAATACTTGTAATCAGAGTCTTATGGGTTGGTAAGTGTTCATCTGCATTTTACTGATCTTTCTGCTTCCTTTTCAAGGTTCTTGATGCACTGACCTAGGCCTTTCCTGCTTGTGAGCATGCTTCACTAAAGTCCAAAATAAAAAGTACTATTTTATTTCCTATTTTATTATTCTTCTGTTTGATATCCAATATGTTGGCTTTGTCTGGAAAGTCATTCCAACTTATGATTACAATCTGTAATGTCTTTTAAGCAAACATAAATGCTGTAGATGGATAGCTAGGGTATTTGGTCACCATATGTAACTGACATTTGAAAAGCTGTTCAGATAAATCTTACATATCTTTTCAAAGCTGATTCTGAAAAGCTGGAAGATACAAGAGCTGAGGCTGGTTGTAGCATTTTTGTGTGCCATTTTGCTGCCCCACTGCTGTGACAGTCTCAAATAAGAACACACTTCTTTCTCTTGCTCTCTCGCGCACACTCCTGTGCTCTCGCACTCCCGCTCTCTTTCTCACATGTTCTCGCGCTCATTCTCAGTCATTCTCTTGCACTCTTTCTTTTTCTTTTCCCTTAAGGCTCTCACCTTATTCAGTTCACAGAATGGCTGTGGTTTGAGGTTAAATTGGGTTGTGTAGTGAAAAAAACTGCCAGGTATTGGCTTTATTTGTTCCAAAGGAGAAAGTGATCTGATTCACAGAAAGCACTGAATACTGCATGAGATGAATTAATTTTGTGTTGCTAATCAAATCATTTAATCTGAAGTTTCGCTGATGCTGTTGCATCATTTAGTTGTTGTGCTAGTTGTGAAGTTAATTCTTGGGACCTTACCTTTGTCTTAAAGGTAAGTTTGTCCTGAATGTGAGAATTACTGTATAACACAGAGTTGTACCTAATAGCTTCACTGAACATACTGTTTTGTCTTTGTGATCCTTCGGTCTAATCACTTTGTCATAGCTTTCTCTTTCTAAATTGATACCATATCCTCTCACAGATGTTATGAATGTGGATTAGTGTTTCTTCAGCCTGCGGAAACTACAGCGAATAAATTTTTGGATGGTTTTTTCTTGAATTTTTCTTTCTTTAGAACTAAATTTGAATAGCATTCAATAAATAAATCTAGGCTCACTGAACAAAGAGGAGAAAACAGAATTGTGCTTCCTTGATGAGCATTTTTGGTGCTTTTCAGTGAGTACTGAATTAGGCTTCACGTGGAAAGAACAATAATTGTGTGCTTGGGCATTACCGATAGTCATTACCTTTATGTATGACTAAGTAATTTTGAGTGCTTATCTATAAGGTTAGTATTTTAAGGAGTGTATGTGCAACTTCATTGCACTGAAGTGTGAGCCTAGGGGGGAAAAAAAGCACGGCACTAGCATCACAAACCAGTTTTAACAGACTTCAATAGCAGAATGGAGATACTTAGCTCCACTACACAGACCTGTTCTTAAGTTAATGTCTGTCAGATACTCCATCATCCTTCTGTGCTGTTGCTGAAAATTATGAGGAGATGGAACATTCTGTTTCAAAACTGTTTGCCAGCAGTTGAAGGTGTGTTGAGACGCTGCAGAAAGCAGCCAAGAACACTTGCATGGACAAAGGCTCCTGAGCTTGTTTCTTTACTCCGAGCTTGATTCTACCCCACTCTTCTCTCTCTTCTGCCCTGGCACCTCATTCATTTTTGCAGTCTCTGTGTGTTGTTTTCAGTCTACTTACCTCACTGCCAGCTGAAGGGAAGGAAGTGTGCTCATGTGCTTTGTGAAAATAGTATGTTTGCTGTTGAGGCAGTACTTTTAGCTGGAAGAGAATTAAAGGGATGGAGTTTTAAGAGAGTTTTATCTGCTGAAATCACTCAAGTGGTTTTTTGAAATGGCAAAATGGGAGAGTTCAGTCTAACCAGTTAAACCTCATGATGCTGTGAGCAAATGAAAGCTGGTAAGGAAAAGATGGCTAGTACTGCATCTAGAGCTTCAGTAAAAGGACAGTTTGTATTACACTTTCATTGTACAGTATTATTATATAAATAGTTTTCCACCCGGAACTCTAGCACCAGACATTTATTGGGGCATGATACTGTACATGAATTTCACATAAGGTTAAAATAAGAAAACTTGCAAATGCTGTACTGACTCATAAATTTTGTAGGTATCCTGTGTATGCACAACTCAAAGTAGCACACTGTTTCTTAAAAAGAAATAAATACCAGATCTTCTGTTTATCTCAAGCTGACTTCTCAGCTTTTACCTTGTGACATAAATGTTTTTTAATCCAAGTAGCAAGAAGCTACACTATGTGAAGCCATGATCTGAAACAGGCACTATACTTTGTCATTATTTCTGGTGACACTGTTTAACATACGGTATCTTTTGTTTCAGGTTTGTAACAGCGTGTTTAACAGCTGGGATCAATTCAAAGATCACTTGGTAATACACACCGGTGACAAACCCAACCACTGTACCTTATGTGATTTGTGGTTTATGCAAGGCAGTGAGCTGAGAAGGCACCTCAAAGAAATGCACAATATTTCAGAACGAATAGTGACAGAAGAGGTTCTTCCAGCAGAAGCTGTGGAAGCTGAACCAGTAACATCAATGACTATAATAGAACAAGTGGAGCAAGTCCATGTCCTACCAGTAATTCAGGTACAAGTGGATCCTGCACAGGTAACTGTGGAACAGATGCACCAGGATCTCATACAGGACAGTCAAATGAAAAGCACACAGATGGAGGAACTGCAAGAACAGGTGCAAATTAGTTACTTGGAAGTTGAACACATTCAGACTGAACAAGGTGCTGAAGTTCATGTGGAGCAGTTACATGTTGAGCATGTAAATCAAATACAGATGGAAGAAATACAGGCAGAACTTATAGATGGAACAGACCTGGAACAAGTAGAATATGAAATTATTGATCAAGGAGAAGCAGAAGAAAAGGAAACTAGTCAAATAGATGGTGTAGATAAGGAAGATCATGAACAAGCTGAAGACTTAAAAACTCAACAATTAGTGGACACACAGAATGAAAAGGTGGATGACTAGGACAAATAACCACACTGTGCAGGTTTAGGAATGAAATACCCAATTATTTTTGTTAGCTTTTACATTGGTTTTTGAACTGTCAGTGGTCATCTTTCCAATATGCTGTCATTAGGAAGCTGGACAAGTGGACCAAAGTTAGCTTTCTTCATGTACAACTAAACTTCCCTCATATGTGAAAAATAACTTTCCCATTCATGTAATACTATGGAATAGAAACTACCACAGTCTTGCAATAGAAGCAAAATCTTGTTATAGATTTGCAGGGTGTCTGTGGCAGAAGAATCTGTAAAATCTGGTGCGTTCTATTGTAAGTGGCAATTGGGTACCTGTGAATTTTCAGATCAGGCTGTTTGCTGTATCCTAACAGCGGTCCCTAACTTTCAGGCTGGGGAAAAAAACATTGTTGCTGGAGGTCTCTGAGCACAAAAATCCTGTGCCTTTTCAACACCAACTGGTTAAACTTCCGCAAAGTTCCTAGAGTGTTCAAGAACCTAGTTCAGTAAAAGGCAATGTAGGTAATGTTATAGCGCTTTATATTTTTGCTTAAAATTGTCAGCTACTGATTTTTTTTTTTTTTTTTGCATTAAATGTAGAGGCAGGGGGGGCTGAGGGAGGAAACAGATTCCACGTGAAGGCAGCAGGACACTCTAAAAGGGACAGTTTAAAATAGGAAAAGCACAGTAGAATCTGTGGTAAACATCAGCTGGAAGAAAGCTACCAGCAGACTCTTCTTTTATAAACCATCATTTTGGAAAATGAGTATGTTTAAACATAAATATAGAGGAGACTTGTCTATATGGTATCATGTTCCTGTTTTTTTGAAATGAAATTCTGACACTTGACACAAAGATGTGCTAAACATAAAAGTAAAAGCCATAGGTATGAGTGCTAATTTGTGGATTGAAAAGTAGGAGTGTAAATAATTTAATCAATATTAGACAATAAAACAATACCAACCATGAAATGTTGCATTATTTGTTTCATCCAATAAATTAGGAACAACTGAGAGTGGCAATTACAGTGCCAGCTCCCAGTGGTAAGAATCAATCTCATTTTTAATAAGATTAGTAGCTCTTTATTGTAAAGTTAGATTTGTTTAGAAAATAGTTGTCTAGCTCTATGTTCAAGGATGCTAAGGACTTCTAATTCTCAATTATTGCCTTGACATTAGAGGTGCACCACACTTCTGAAAAATTTTCTTTTCAAAGCCTTAACTGAAGCGAGGAATTTTTGCAAGGATGTTCCCTAATGCTCTTGGTAATCCTGTAGATCTTAGTTAAAATCAGGCTTTTCTATTCAGTCTTCTCCAAATACAGAATTACTTCCTGGGATTTGTGCTTTTATTTAGTCTCGTTCAAAATGATTCTTGTGTTTCATCATAGCCTTTGAGAAACTGTTGCAAAACAAACATGGATCTCAATTAAAATTTCAAACAATTTGATTAATGTAACTTGCATTCTTTTTTATGATGTTTTGTGTTTTCTGAGATGCAAGTAATATGGATGAGATTCCCTGTGCAGAGGGAAGAATGTGGCCCAATGTTAATCATGAAAGTAAAAGCTGGCTATTGTATTTATACCTGGCTTCTGATAAGAAGCCTGTCTTTTGATAACACAGAGGGGACAGGCCTACTTGCTTAGCTGCATAACTGGTTTTTTAGGTATTCATGCATACAGACACAAGGTCTGTACCTGTGGAATTAAAGGAACGATCTGGCTGTCTGTCTAACCAATGAAACTCACTTTCAGGTAATTTAAGTCCAATGTAAACTGAGCAGTCGTTGTATTGGTAGCAGCGCAATGGTTTGGTAAGCAGAGTTAGGCTATTTCTTTGCTCTGATCTCCCCTTTTCAACAACAGTTCATGAACTTGGTAGGAGAGAAATGAAATGATGCTCTGTTGTTGCGCTCGGCGCTGCCCCATCCAGACTGCCGCTGAGCCGGGGTGGGAGCACGGCGGGACCATGAGCAATCCCCTCCTCACTCTGAGGGACCGGGCCAGAGGCTCTCCTCAAGTCATACCTCTGCTGGAGAGCCTTTCCCTTTGCAGCCCCTCTTCCCTATAATTTCCTTCCCAAGTGTTTGAAGCCCAAATTGCTCCCACCACTGGAGTCCCCCATGCCTCCTTACTGCAACAGCTGATACTGGAGGAGGGACGATTGATGGAGGAGTCAGAAGCTCTGGCTGCTCTCTGTAGCAGCCACCTTGCCGTCTTCTTTCTGCCACAACAATCTGTAAAGACGCACAGACCTCTCTGAACTCTGTATTACCTACACTCCATTGGAGGATTTCTTCCCTCTAAATACACATACACTGCTGGTCCCCAGAGCCCTCTGTTATGCGGGTACTGGTCTGTAGCTTGCAATGGGGTGGCACGCTGGTGAACGCTTGAATTTATGCCAAATGAAACTCGTCAGCTAAAGCAGTAAGAAATGGAAAAGTGGGAATGAATAAAAACCCGTGAGGTGTGTCTGGATATAAAATAAAATTGAGGATAAAATTGAGACTGAGGTTAGAGGAAGACTTGTAGATTTTATGTGAGGGGCCATAAGCTATTTCTGAAAATAGAGCAGGGAGGGGAAAGGGAGCTGATCAGTAGTTCGAGAGACACTGAGTTATTCAGACAATATAAGAAAGGACTAGCTGCCCTTTTTGGGTTTTTGGGGTTTTTTTTGGAAAACAGTCTTCCTGAGCCAAAGCACATTTCATCTGCCCGCTCACGAGGACGAAATCGGATGCAGGTCCTGCGTGAAATGCTCACCAGGGGAGCATCGTGCAGCCTCTGCTTTGTTTCGCCTGCCTGCAGTGCAACTTTTAATTAGCCAGTGGTGCAGAATATGGTACTCTCTTACACAAATTCTGTAACTCGGTATTGTTTCCCATGAGAAAACATTTATAATAGGTGTTTAATATGGTTGCTTATTTTTAAGGGTTGAAGTATCTCTTCTGCAGGGACTATCATGAAAATGTAATGTGCAGTTAGGTTTTGTTGTTGTTGTTGTTGTTGTTAAACTGTAGTGTTTGCTGCTAGCAACTAATGTAAAACTGAAAGCAACCTGTTTGTAACGAAAACACAAATAATTGGTAGCTTGTCAAACAACCGGCAGCTCAGGGAAGTACAGCAGAAGCTGGAGCCCTTTCCTGACTCACCGGCGCAGACCTAGGCCACCATCAGCCACGGCTGGACCCATTTGGTTGGG